ACGGCCTTCCTTTTCCAAGATACAGGGCGCTAAAAAGTTTCAAAAAATTTAGTTTTTCTCCAATAACTTTCGAACATTGTAAGATAATGGAACGAAATTTTAGCCTTAGCTTAATTTGATAATCACCTAGTAACAGGAAAAAGATTGACTTTGTAAGTTACCCAGTGGCGTGCGTACAGATTATAGCGTAAGGTATTTCGAAAAAAATTGTCGTACGCCACTGGTAAAAACATTTTTTTAATATTTGTTTATGATCCACTTTTTATTTTAAACAAAATTACCCTCTTGCGTTTTATTTGTAGCTCTTGTAATTTTTCCGTATATAAAACTTTTGTAAATATCCCTTTCTTCCCACTGCTAACATAGGAAAATAAAAGTTAACAAAAACATTATGAAATTAGCTTTGGGTCAGCCACCGAATATGGTCAAAGATGCATTGAAAAAAGACGCATTGAAAATGATATTAAAAAACTAAATTTTTTGAAATTATTTAGCGCCCTGTAGCTTGGAAAAGAAAACCCGTAGAGCATAACTTTATAGACAAATATTTATATTTTATAATAAAAAATCCACCGTTTCATTTATTCCCAACCATTATGTTACACCCTGTATTATTTAAAAAAAGACATTGAAAAATCAGAATTTATAGAAGAACGCCACTGCGTTTTTGGCTGAAAACTGAATAAAAATATTTCTTTATCAAAAAACGTAAATTTTTACAATTAAAATAAATGTCATTCGACATCATGCAAAAATACGAAAATTGCCCGTTACCTTTTAAATGAGTCGAGATAGTAAGATGCGGGGTTCACTGTTCAATTTTTTGTCCAAAACCAAGTTGAATATTTTAATTACTTTGGATCTATCTTCCTAGGAAATACGAGGAACCTCCCAAAAGCGTTGAAATTGATCCACATTGCTAGGTATTGCTTCAAAGAATAATATCCTGCAGAATATTAACATTTAACATGTTAAACCCGCTTAATATATGTACAATTACTTTATATTTTCCTATTTTCTATTTTGGTTTTTCAAATTTTCTTCTTAGGAAAGGATTTTTGAATATTAAACGTCAAAATTGCATAATCCACCCCTGAGCAAAGATCGCCGAGTCACATCTAATGACCCTAATAACATTAATGATTATTTTAGTGGTAATTTTGTTTCCATAACAAAGTTAGGGCACACACACCTGATCATTCTCACCATTTGAGCGCAAGACTGTAATATCACCTGAATATAAAGATAATGAAGCAGTGCCCTGCGATCTTTACACAACTTTACCCAACTTTATACATTACATACTAGCGTTAAATTACAAATGGCATACTATTAAGACACGAACACTCATTGAGAAATTATTTATGGCGATTTTGCTTAATTCCGTTTCAGCACGAGACCTTCCTAAATTTGGTGTGATTGTAATAATACCAGCCACAAAATGAACGTTTTGATATTGAATTTGTGCAAAACTAATAAAATTAAATACGACATATTTTACAATTTCTACCCTCTGTTTCTGATGTGACACAAATTTTGCTTAATTTTCTTTCATCACGATACATCTTTAAAAGTTTCGTGCAATCGTAAAACTGTTGTTTCATGCTTTTGTAGCCATTTATTTGTCATCTACATAATTTTTTTTCAAGTACCTATTTATCTTATAGTTGTTCCTTCAAGAATCTTTTGGTTTACAACTATAACCTTGATTGTTATGTGTGTGTTGAAAAATATGAATGACTATAATGTCAGGAAAAATAATTAAGTTCTGAAATTTTTTTCAAATTTCAATCTGGGAAAAATACTCAAAAGTTTGATTTGGAAATTGTCTATCTAAATCTGTATCTGATGATTCTCTGCCACCTTTTTTCAGCTGAAACCCCTCAGACACTTTCTGTCTCCTACACAAATGATTATACTTTTTCATTAAATTTGTCTTATCTTGACTGCAGAACAGCATTTATTTCAAAAATCTCATGTATAACAAATCTTTCTCACAATACATACGTGAATACTTGGACCAATAGTACAAAATTGATGTACTATATATGGATTTTCAGAAAGCCTTTGATCAAATTGACCACATTATACTATTATACAGGGTGGCCTAATGAAAACGAAACAGAGCCATTTTCAGGAACTGCATCAAGATTGTAGAAAAACGCCCAGACCCGTCGATTTTAGATTAAAGGGGGACATTCTTTGCTGGTATTTTTGACTCCGCCACTTTCACCCCCCAAGCAAGGGATAAGCATCACCCCAAAATATTTAAATGGCGTTGGGGTTGAGTAATATTTCTTTTAAAAGCTCTTACAATTCTCTTTACAACAGACTTTAAATTTTATAGTTCCGCCCAATACTTATTAAGAATTTTGATTTTAAAGTTGAAACTTATGTACAAACAATTAGTAACGGTAAAAATGTCAGTCATTCGAGTTAAGTACGCCAATGGTATATTTTTTGTATTTCTTGCGTTACATTGATTTTTGGCGATTTGTTATCACTTTCGTATAAAAACACAATTGTAAAAAACAGAAATGAATGCTATACACACACAATGAACGTAAAATTAGTGGATTCCTAATTATTTTCTAGTATTATTTGGAAGCGTTGGTTGGTAGTTTATTTAATTGTGTTTTTGAAAATTAAACACTATGGTTTATTCCATTGCGGAAAGGGTAGATATTATTTCGCTTTACTTTATGAACAATAAATGTGCGAATAGAACAGCTCACCTATTTAATGAACAACATCAAGATCGACATGTCAGGACGAAGTATGTTCTAGAGTTAGTAAAAAAATTTCAAGAGCCAGGGAACGTAGCCAATAAAAAACGAAAAATTGAAAAACCTATAGTTAATGAAGCTAGTCAAGTTGCAGTTTTGGGACAAGTTGGCATCTGTGTCTGGGATCAATCGAACTAGCATACAAACCATTTTGAACCAGGAAATTCATGAGGATGATTATGACCGCCGCGCCGTTTGCAATTTTGCGAAATAATGAGTGAGCGAGCAGGGAACGATCCACAGTTAATTTTTAACATCTGTTTTTCTGATGAATGCAGTTTTTTCTTGAACGGGACGGTAAATCGTCACAATTGCCGCTATTGGTCCGATTCAAACCCAAGAGTTTTTCACGAGGTGCATACAGAGCAACCGGAAAAATTCAATGTATGAGCTGGAATTTTCGGTGACCGGCTGGTGGGTCCTTTTTTTCTACCTGGTAATTTGACTGGCCAAATGTATTTGCAATTACTGGAAGACGCTATTGACCCTGCCTTGACTGATATTATTGAAAATGTTCCAGAGTATGATGAAGATCATTTGATTTTTCAACAGGACGGTGCTCCTCCGCATTATGCGTTAATTGTCCGTCAGTATTTGGACCAACGTTTTCTACGGAATTGGATTGGGAGAAGAGGCAGCATTGAGTGGCCTCCACGATCACCGGATTTATCGCCCCTTGATTTCTTTTTGTGGGGATACCTAAAAAGTAAAATCTATAAAACACAGCCAGCGTCGCTGGAAGATTTGCGTCAAAGAATCGTCGACGAATGCCGTCGAATCACTCCGAAAATGCTTCGAAATGTGCGCGAACGTTTAATCTTTATTCTTGTATGGAAGTGGGCGGTCATCAGTTTGAACATTTAATCAACTAAGTAGTAAGTAAGCAACTAAACATAATTTGAATTTTAAAATTTAAATTTAATTCAAAATATTTGGCGGAATTATAAAATTTAAAGTCTGTTGTAAAGAGAATTGTAAGAGCTTTCAAAAGAAATATTACTCAACCCCCAATGCCATTTAAATATTTTGGGGTGATGCTTACCTTTGCTTGGGGGTGAAAGTGCCGGAGTCGAAAATTCCAGCAAAGAATGTCCCCCTTTAATCTAAAATCGACACGTCTGAGCCTTTTTCTACAATCTTGACGCAATTCCTGAAAATAGCTCTGTTTCGTTTTCATTTGGCCACCCTGTATAGGATGGAACAAATGTTACATAAGATGGAACAGTTCACAATTACTGGCTTTGTTCCACTCATATTTGATTGACTGTAAGCAGTTTTTTAAATCGAAGGTTCAAAATCGCCGCCATTTTTGTCTTTATTGGGTGTAACTCAAGGCTCAGACCTTATACCACTGCTTCTATTTAATTTTTATATATGATTTAATTGCGGACATCTGTTTTAAGGCTTTCACCGCTCTGTTGATTTAAAATACGATGGTTTTTTACTTTGCCCTTCTTTAGCCTTAGCTAGGAATCGTCTACTTGCCCTTGTTGTCCTCGGGCTAGACTCCATATGGACGGACCCGTATACCCCAGTGATTAATAGAGGGTCAAGACAGGATTTTATTGGTGTTTTTAAAAATGTAACCATCATAGCGAACTGGTATGCCAATAACAAATATGTATCTTAATGTTAACAAATGTTTCGGACTAGGCTCTGTGGGGTGCGGAACCGCTATTAGAACACCTAGGCCTGTCTTGATGCTCATTTCGGTTCTTATTGAGTCTAAAGCTGCTACGGACAAAATTGCTCCTCCGGCAATGCTGATCTTCTGAGATGGTCCGCAGTGATCTTTGCAACTAGTCGTATCCCATGCTTCCAAACGTTTCGCTGTTTTTGCCGACAGTGATACCCTTTTTACAGTAAACGAGATTCATAAAGCGCTTACTATTTTCTCAAAATCACTACCTATAATTTATTCTTGGTAAGAAGATATTTTAAAGAAATGAAATATGAAAAAAAAATTGTTTGAAGGACCATAATTTCTAAGCAAACTATCCTTGAAGTATGGGCCATGCAGCTTTCAGACATTCTGTATTTGTAAATCGACTGGAAAATTCAAAACGGAACTACGTAAATGTCGAAAATCTATACAAATAGGTATGTTATGGTCTTAAGAAATTAAATAAGAAAAAAATCCTATGTTTACCATTTTTGTTTATTTATATAAGTATTTATTTTCATACACATATAAGTGATAAATTAATTATATACAATTTAATCAAATTATTTTGTAATAAAGTCAGATTTATTTATACTCTAATATTTTAAAAAGTATCACATTTGTTTTTGAGCAATAAATGTTCATATCATGATATATCAAGAGAGTTGACATATTTGATTGCTTCCTCAGGACTTTTGTACTCCGATTGGCCGTCCTCTGTTGGAACTTCGTGATTTTGCAGGATAGTCTTGTGAAGCACCAAGTGGCTGATACTGCACAACACTCCAAATGCACTAAACACCTGCATGGCATTTCTTCCTCCAATACACTTATATAAAATTCCTCCCAAAAAGCTACCAATTGCGTACCCTGGAACAAACATTTTATTTCTATGTGTACAGGACAATCTATCTCAAATTACTCCAGTGAATTTGTGACTAATTTTCCCATGTCTTATTTTAATTATTTATATATTTGCCAGTTAGAACTGCATTTGTCACCAGTGATAGCTGGTCAAAATTTAAATGGCCGTATCTGGATAATAAAGTTTGGGACCCATACCATTTTTTAGGGGATGATTTGTAGACCCACAGAGGGAGCCTTCATGAAAGGAATTTACGAAATAAAAATGAAATTAGGGATTACCCATTCTGGTATCTCTAAAAGAGCATATATTCAAAATATTTTTTACTTATTTAAAACTCAGATAGGTACAACTATATAAAAAATTTAATTTAATTCAATCTTAGGGTCAGCAATCCCTACTTTAATTTTATATTTCGCAAATTCCGTTAAAATTGTTTTCGTAATGAAAATTTTCTGGGTCTAGAAATCATCCCCTAGAAAACGGCGTGAATCTCTTGTTTTGTAATGAAAATATAAACACTTTAATTTTCACCAGGTCCCACAATAAGGCTTAAAGCTATATATGCATAAGAAAGTGACTGGCATACATTTAACTACAAATAAATTTACTAAGTAATTGGAAAACAAACCTTTAAAGCAAATATATTCAAAATACATAAATAAAAGAATTTATTTTCCATATCTGTCTAAAACGAAATATAATTCTATAAGTTCTGTACTCACAAAGAGATGCGTCTATTTACATTCAATTTGCGTATTTTTATATTGATTTCCAGTTTGCCATCCAAACATATAAATTTATGACGTACGAATATCCTGTATTTCAAAAGGCACAATGTGTCAATATGTAACGGAGTAACTACAATTATTACCTATCTATCTATTTTCGATTTCTTTACAACAAAACGCACGCGGGACTATTGAAACTGACAATAAGAATAAATATCAAAGGTGAGTTTTCGCCATAAACTTACAAAAACATGTAATGTAACAACTTTTATAATAAAGCATAGTCTGGTATTCGTTATTTTATTAGCAGCTAATGTTATAAAACTTCTTGCGTAGGTATAGTACTACATCATGTTTTGTATTTCACAGCGACAAGTTTCGATGGAACTGGGTGAACTAAAAATGTGTCTTTTTATATTTACAAATTGTTCTCTATATCCTCTTCGAGATCAACTCACTAAATCAACGTTAAATACATGTAAAGTGTCACTGGTATACATTGTTCTTAACCAAAGGAAAAAATCTTACCGAATCCATCGTCCATTCCAGCTGCTATGCCTTGCATGGTGGCTGAGGCTCCTGGAGGAGCAAGCTCATTGGCATAAGCGACTATCGTTGTATATGTAAGGGCATAGGTGGGCCCTTGAAGTATGAATTCTATTGGTACTACCCACCAGGGCGAAGGTACTATAGAAATCAGTCCCAAACGAAGGGCATAGTTTATGAAACACATGCTGAAGCAATGCACGTGGCCGAAACGTTCCAATATTTTACCTAGAAAATGGTTAAAACAGATGAGTCTTACGAGAAATTCGAATGGTATCTTACAACAATTCAAACAATGTATTGATGAAACACGTTATAAAACATCCGATTTATAAGTTCCATTATGGACAGTTATATTAATTGTTAAACAAACTATCCACACAACGTATACACACATGTTACTAAAATTTTACCATCACGCAAAAAAAAAATTAAATTTGTCTGCTCCATTCATCCAAGCCTTCCTATTTATTTGGATCTACAGACACTAAATCTAACATGGGAACATCAATCTTCAGTTTCTTTTCAATTGCTCCTAAAATCTAAGAAACGACAAGAACTTTGCATTCAGTAGGTTTTTCCTTGAGTACAGTTCTGGAAACGATGCATTATATTCGTGGAATTCATTGCATGTTTCAGATATTCAAAGACTCAATCAACAATTACAATATTTCAGCTTCGGGTGAACAGCCGTATCCCTGACTCATAGACCAGCATACATTACGATCGGCTCAACCACAAGAATATCTTGGAAATACGAAAACAAAATGAGTCCTATAATCCTACAGTTCTTTATGAATCTTATACTTTTCAAAGCCACATAATCTGCTACAACATTACAATTAATGAGTTTATCTTTTGATGAAGTTCTGCAAAGGAGTAGGTATATCTGCAATCAGTATATTTCAAATCTCTAAGCCAGTTGCGAACCAGTAGCTTCTGGTTATTGTTCTCCAATGGATGATGGTTAAAAAGAAATATACGCATGAACGACAAAAAATAGAAAAAAAATCCTCTACATAAATCGTTCGAAGATAAAAATAATAGTACCTACAAAGAGAAAAAGAATAACTTCCTAAAATCACTGTATTATCTTACTACAGCCTTTAGGTATAGCTCCGAGTCGAATTGCCTTAATAGATTTCAGATATACCATGATTGTAGGTAGACCCCGTCACAGGACTACATTCTTAGAGAAACCCACTGAATGTAATGCCGACGCAGATTTTGGAGTTTCGAAGAGTAAGAAATTTCTGGAGTCCATCAAGAACCGCAGGACTGTATTTTTAGATTTAGTGTAGTTTTTTGATTGAGTTTGAGAATGACGAGCTCCACGAATATGATACGTCGACTTGTTTCCATGGCTATGCTCAAGGAGAAACGTACTGGAAAAGTTTTGGCTACTTTTTAGGGTTAAGGGTTGGTTTTTGACAATTTTAAAAGAATTGCCGGGTGGTGGAGTAATTTACATGGCATATTCATTTCCGGGAGTGCAAATACAAAGGGGGACAAAGACCTCATCTGTCGAACAGGCCACTTTTGTATATTAATCTATGTTATGTCGAAGTGCAATACCCGCAATAATTCCTTCCAACCTATCTGGCGCTAATTTGGCGATTTTGTTGCACCGATAACGGTTCTGTTGATTTATTCCGTATGAAGTCCATACACAAAAATAATGTCTACATATTCCTCATTTGAAAATGCACACTTTATGTGTGTCTAAGTGTCCAATTTAGTTTTTGATAAACATTTTTCATAAATAACAAAACATCTTAAGAAAACTGACAACTTCTGGTTAGCTGTTATGTTAAATCACGGCTACTACATTTTTCATGATTGTAATTGCAGGATGGTGAGCTAACTTTTGAATGCCACTTACTGTAATTTTTGATAAACAATTTTAGTATAAATTAATTTAAAACATTTAGATTTTTCCCAACGTTCGGTATTATTTGATACCATCTTCAGAATTTATCGTGTTTGTAACAAGGAATTGTATTATAGCTTTTGGAAATTACAATTCTATCATGATTTTCTAAGACAAAGGAATAAGCTTAATAACTTAAGCAATTCGAAAAACATGTACGGAAAAGACAGAATTCGACACTTTTCGACGGTTTCCCATTTTCCGAAAATATGAAAAAAACTGCAAAAAAGAAAATTATATATTAGAGGTTGATTTTTCGACGGTTCAGTAGAGAAAATAGCATCCCGATATCATGAAGAAATACAAGGCGTTTCTCAGTTTTGGCCATTTTCTATGATATCCTATAATTTATTTATTTGTGATATTATTCAATAGTTTCTCTCCCAATTAGCTATACCACGGATGTATTTGATGTATAAATGTACAGTATACTAAATTGTACCAAGAAACAAATTACAAAAAATAAAAAAATTTGAATTTTTTAAGGCTGTAACATCTCAATTACGTTTGCTCCATCTTCTCAGAAAATTAGAAGAAACCTCCCAAAAGTGTCGGATTAGCTCCACCTTGTACATATCGACCAACATTTATTGTGACCCATTCTGGTTTTTATTTTGATTTATTATTCTCATTTGTATTCCTCTGTTCAATTATGAATGAATTAGTCACGACTTTTATAGTACCAATAAACAATTGATATGTAAGACCGAAAAATAACACACCTGATATTGAAAAAAATATAACTTCTCCCCCAAGCGTTTCAGCTGCCACTATTAGTCCTTCCAGAAGTTTTATATTCTTAGTTCCTGTCGCTTCTGCTAAATCTTCTAAGTACCTTTAAAAAACTTAACATTAGTAAGTTCGTATTTCTATTTCTATTTATTTTAAATCGCACGGTTACTTAGAACAATGGATGTATAAATTTTTAATATAATTCTAATAACTTACCAAAATAAATAATAAATTATAAAACTATCCACAATACCCGCAAAAACCGCAAACACAATAAAGGTTATTACTGTACGGTTATTAAGTAGTCTTCTAATGTCTTTAAATATGTTTTCAGGAGATTCAATAATGGGAAGCTAGAAAACACCTTTGTTAACATTTAGATGCCAAAACATGTTGCACATACCTTAAGTTTTATACATGCTGTTAGATCGAAAAAGGAACATATGAGCATTACAATAATAGCAGGTGTATACGTGATTGCACTGCCAGAAAATAAATTCACTATGTAGCCAGCTATCAATGCTGACAGTCCAAAGCCTATGGTTCCCCAAACTCTTTGCTTTCCATAATCATACTGATCTCCTGAAACACAAGTTGAATAGTTACAAAGAAAGAAAGTTACAATAAAATAAAGTTAAGATTTTGTTTAACACATTGTATAATGCAGCTGTATGGAAGGTCAAATCAATAGATAATGAAGTTTATAAAAGTGTGATTAAATTGCAGATGCTCTTTAATTTGTTTTGCAGTCTACTTATTAAGTCAGTGTCCGTCATAATAGATAAGTATGATGTTTATTTATAACATTACCAATTAAGTTTTATCTGTTTCTTTTTTATAAATACCAAATATACATTGGATTAGTAATGACGAAATATTGTATTTGCAAATGAAGAATACAATAATGTAATGAAAAACGCTATAACTGACATTTTAGTAATTTATATTTGTTTACCGTATGTTAAGGCATCTGTAATATTGCACGAATATTCGTAACATCCCTACTATCAAAGTAATGGTACATTCAGCATATGATAGACGTACAGGGTGTTTTTAAAATACATTTAACTTAAGAGAGTGAGGGTCAGCATTGTAAAAGAATGGAATACTATGGAATTTGTTATAGAAATGTCAACTGTTTCAAAGTTTAATTTTTTTAAATAATTTGGTTAGCTACTATTTGTCTCATATTTGACACATGCCCTACATAGATTAAGTGATAATTAAAGAAAAGTTTTTACCATAACATTTTATAAGTCATTTAAAAGATAATCAAGATTCTTTAAAAAAACCTACTCTCAACTCAAATCGATTTGGCGGTAATTCAAACTTAAATTATTGTTACAATTTTTAATAAGAACTATAAATAATAAATAACACAACATTATCAGAAACTAAAACACTAAAAAATGTTTTAAAATTGTCTCTCATTTTCTTCAGCAAATCCCAAGGCTTTTAAAAAAATGCCTCTAACTCGGTGACAAATCTCTGCTGTCTCCCTAATAGTTTGGCATTATTTTCCATTGTCGCATAATATATTTTTCAAACATGCAATGTTTATAATAAGGCGTATTTGTGTTTAATGTATTATCTCTTCTTATCTCTACCTTTTAAAAATTGCATATTTCCCTAATATTAATAAATACGTTACAGATTTAAATTAAAAATCTTTATCCTGTAGGACAGTTGTACAGAAGTTGTAGAAGAAATGAGGCCAATTCTAGCCTCTTGTGCTTCTACTGTCTGTTTATTGGTGCAGTAGATTTTTTCTTTGAAAAGTCCAAAAATATTCTAGTTAGTAGTATTTAAGAAAGATTATCCAAAGGGGTTGAATTTTTGGCATATACAACCCTCGTATTTACCCAGTATATGCAACGCAAACTTTTTTCTCTAAGCCTTATTGCACTTATGTTCAGCATTTCATTTACTCTCTTTCGAGAAGGAACATTCGACATTTCCTCTGCCTGAGTCTATGCTGATCTTGAGTCCCAATAATCATGCTATTTTTCTTGCTTACATCTCTCCAAATCCTACATTGTAGCGAATGTATTTGTTACGAAGGCAAATCTCTAGCTATGATTCCAGAGAAACCGTTTTCAATTTATTTTATACAAGTTTATCCGCTTTTCAATTTCCTTCATTGGCTTCATAATCTGGCTTACATCACCTAAGCCTGACAAGCCTGATTCACAATCGTAAAGAGATCCAAGTAATTCTGAGCACATCTAATTTGATTCTAATTTGATCTGACTAACGGAGAATATCTAGATAAGATGACGAATGAAAATGGAATATGGAACCTAAGTTTTATAGTGTTTATGTCTAAGAGAACATTTATTTCTAAAATCATTCTGACAAAAATGTAGGTACCAATTTCCGCTATGTTTGGTTCTGTTTCTGGTTAAGACAGCTAAAATTTTAATTAGTAGAGTTCATAATGTGTTCCCGTGATACATATATGCTTTCTAACTAATGAATTAAGTCATTATATCATCATAAAACTAACGTTATTTATAAATATCACTATTAACTTACCTATTACATCGAAACAAATGGCATCACTAATAGAATTTGTGACATTGAATCCTATAGTTCCAATCGACATAAGTATGACGAAACTCCAAAAAGTAAAGGATGTGTACAAACACCCACTGTTCCTTTCGATGTCCTCTTTACATTCCATTCCGCAAGTGGCACTGTTGTTCGTGTTCAAACTATAATTTTCGAAACTACATAGTCTGTATTGACTGGTATTCGAATTGAGGGAATTCATAAGGAAAGCAGTTGGTTCCATTAAGCATTTTGAGGTACATATCACTGTTGTGGTGTGGTTATTACATTGTAGTTCATCTTGAATATCCTATAAAAACATTAAATTTGATTTTTAAGTTCAAGGTGCCTTAAATGGTGACATTCAAAGAAAATACTAGCCTATTGATATACATTTTCTCCCTTGAAAGATTGGATATGAAACACAGTTTTTGATGAAACGCTCAAAAATCATTGAATATGTGGATTTCAAACTTGATATACTGCAATTCTTTCATACAAACATGTAAAATATAAGCAAATATTAACTTCAGAATTAGCAGTATGAGAAATTTCAACCATCAAAATAAGTTATTTGACTATGCAGACAATCTTTGATTTTTTTAACTTTCGTTTGCATTTAGATAAGCGCGAATTTATGGAACTATAAATTATACAATTTTCACCTAGGTATACTCCACTTATAATAACGTTTCTAACATTATCAGGATTTTTAATCTTCAACCATGAACATACAATGAAAGCTAGATACGAAAAAGCTCTGATTAAAAATGGATCATTTAAAGTTGTGAAAGAGGATTCTTTGTGACTGCAATTAAATCCTTTTTAACAATCGAAACCAGTCAGATCTAATACCTGTGCGACTGGTTTGTTGAAATTTTACGTGAAGGATGTTTGTTCTTTCTTTATTTTTTGAGTATTTTGACACAAAAATATTTAAAAAATTAGTGAAATAAATCCTTGCATCAAAAGGATCAGTCAATGTTTATTTCGCGCAAAGGTTTATTCCACTAATTTTTAAAAAATTTTCACAGGTATCAAAATACCCAAATTATAAAGATATCAAATTTAAAGTTTATGTCTTGATGTGTTCTTGAGCAATTGGCCAAAAACTGTGATTATGCCCAGTTTGTGAAGAATTATGGATCCCTTGGGATAGAAACTAATTATTATAAAAAGAATTACCATAATAATCTTTCTTTTTTATCGATTTCCTAACAGCAATGAATGTTGTATATTAAATAAAAAAGATTCTGGAAATTTTATGTTTTTGCAAGTACCTAAAATCGTCTATCCGCAATCATGTTTTTTATGCCTCTAAGGAAGTTGCCTTTTTTTAAATTTCATGACCAAAAGGATGTAGGACTAATTGTAAGTTTGAGAGGTATAAACATCAGGTATTAAAAATTTACAATGAAATAATTAAATATTTTGTCAAAATTGTGCTTTTTAGAAATTCTAAATTTTCTTCTGGCAATAGTGGAAATCTGATTTGAACGATCTTTTTTTGAATTAAAGAATTTGAAATGCCCTGTAGGTTATTCCAGCTAAAATAAAGAATGTCTACTTGCCCCAACTATCATCCCATCTTTTCGTTGTTCACCGTTATCTTTGTTATTAATTGAGATACACAATTAAATTAAGGCGCATCTAGTTTATTGTAAAAATTCAAGACAATAATAACAACAAAAAAATAGTGTAATGAAAATATGCCCATTTGGAACGACATAGATCAAGAGAAGATTAATGTCTGACAGAAACATCTATGTTATTAGAAGTATTGATTGATTTTCTTCTTTATTTTTGTTGTTAATTTTTATTTCTTCTCATTTTTTTGTCTGTTATTCCGACTCTCATGTCTAAATTTTTTAATGTTTTCACAAGTTGTAACGCTTTAACATAAGCGCGTATCTCAATTAATAAAAATAAGCAAAAAGAGGATCGAAAAAAAAATTGTTTTAGCTGACGCACATTTCAGCAGAAAACTTATTTTCTCTTGTACCCTACAAAAAATTAAGTTCCATTTTGTTGTCCTAAAGTGCACTCGTATATTAGATAATAATATTTTTTTCTGTTGGCATAATTTACATACCCAACAAAACATTAGAAAATATACAAAGTTGTTGATGTCATTCATAGTGGCCAAATATTTCACAGTATGTGAAAATCTGCTCAAAGTTTTACTGAACTGAAAATATGTGAAATGAAATGAATTCTCACACATGTCTTTAACAGGGGCATCTATAACGTATATTACTGACTGTAGCATTACATGAGTCCAAAACGATGTCCCCCAAATCCTCGATGTGTACCTCCACCTTGGCTTCAGGAGGTATGAAGTTCATCAATGCGTACGAAATAGTCATGGTGGAAATCAACATCATAAAAATGGTCTTTCTGTAGTTTCTGTAAACGTCTACCAACATACCAAAGGCAGGTTTTGCGATCAGAAAGACGATGGGTAGGACCCCAGTTATGCTGCCCATCACGACTGAGGATATCCCCAATTCTTTTCCATAAACCTGCAATTGGGGTAGTATTGGACCCATTGCTGAAAAATATAGAGACAAATTATTTAGTGAAAATTACAAATTAGTAAGGACATAAAGAGAGAAAGAATTGGAGTTACAGTACACACTTCAAACAAAACTAGGCGACATAATTCTCAAAATGTGGGAAATGATGAATTTATCAAAAGCTGTTAATTGAATTATATACATTTTGAATACTATATAACAGGACGCTGAATTCAAATCCGTCGTTAGTTTTACTCTACCACAACATTCGAGTAAATCGTTAATAATTGCTGAAAATCCAGAAAAATTGTGGAAGATCTGACTAATTGGCATCAGTAATGTTTGAAAAAAGAATTTGGACCGAATAAAGTCTTAATTTTATATATTTTAATGCGCTAAACTCTAATTAGTCTTTCAAGACCTTTGTAATCGATTTATTTATATAAAAATCGCCGGAAAAATTGCTAGAAAACAACTTATATCGAATAAAAAATGAAGAAATCTATTTGAATCGGTCCAAGCTCTATTCAATGCACTGAACACGAAGTATTTTGAAAAAATTTCGGAAATGATTGAAACCCCAGTTTGATCATTTAGATGGATGTCACTTCTTCGGCTGATATGTTCTTGTTAGAGTCGAGTCCGACGAAGAAGGAATCGGAAGCAGAAACAATATTGAAGCGGAAAATAAGGAGAGTGAAACTGAATAACAAACACGAACCAACAGGTGAAATAAAACGTCCAAATCCATATAATTATGAAGAGTTAAATAATCCGATTAGAAAAATAAGACTTAAATAATGCAGCTGAATTTTTTGCTGCAGAACTAAAGAGTCGAAGATTGGTAGTAGCACGATCGAAATCAACTTTTTACATCGATCAAGGAAAAGAGTTTCGAAAGTTGTTCAATAAAGAGGACAATGGCTCTTTGGTGTTGTATACAGATGTTATTGGTTTGATGAATAAATTGAAACCTAACGACTACAAATCTGAGGATTGGAGATGGATGTTCATAGTCTTGCATAATGGAAATAAATATGCCTATATGCCCATTACAAATTCAACCAAATTAAAACATAGTTAAGAAAACATGAATTGTATTCTGCAGGAAATTAAGTATGCAGAGTATAATTGACAAGTTTGCGATGATTTGAAAGTTAAATCAATCAATTTGAAGCAGCAGTCAGGATTTATCAAGTATCTCTGCTTCTTTTGTCTATGTTGACATCGCCATCGGAACAATCACTACAACATGAAACAATGGCCGACAAGAGAAACAATCAACCCAGAAAATTACAATATGGAGCAATCTTTGATCTTTGAAAATATTGCTCCATAAAAAACTTGTTCTGATAGTTTGTCAATTTGTCAGGGCTTTTGATAAGAACAGAAAATATTTTAAGTAGTGATAACAAATATCTTCTTGAATTAATGTAATACCTTAACAAACATTACTTGGAAATAGTTTAACTACAGTATTAGAGGAGAACGAATAATATTTGTAGAATTTAAGAAAGCGTATCCTCATTAAAAAACTGAAATACAATGTTGTAGTATGAATGTAATTTATTATACTCTTATAAACATGAAATAAATGGAATAACAGTCGATTTCATTACATTATCTACTGAAATAATTTTTAGAATCATGTTATTTTTACAAATAAGTAAATAATAAAGATGTGTTAATGAAAATGCATATACGTATTAATGTAAGTATATGCTATTGACAAACTTTTCTCAGTGTGTTTTATACGTACCACTAAAGTGACATTCTTTCAGTTCATGCATGTATTTTAAACGACAATATCCAAAATCTTCATATTTTCGGTTATAAAACACTACGTATGCATTGTTTATAATTATTTATTTGTGGTATTTTTGTTGATTTTTTTATTTAATTAGGTATTTCTGCCAGACTGAAAATATTTTTTATACAGTGCGTCCCAGAAGTAACGCAAAAAATTCATATTTCATTTTCTGTTGAGTTTTCACAAAAACGCTAAAACACGTCAATTAGTAAATTAGAATTGTCGTTTTGTCACGTTGCTTAAACCTTTTTTGCGCTATGTTTCATAAACCTATGACGTCATCGACATTTTTTAAATAGCACCACCTAATTTTTTAAGCATAAATGGATAGTCCTTTTGAAGAGAAATACGTCGATATAGGGTTTGGCCTACTTTACTTTAACAAGAGCGGAAAAAAAAGCCATGACTGGAATGGACATGGTTTAAAATAACAACAAAAGTAGGTACCATAAACTGATGCGAGAACAGTGCCACAGTATAAAATGGAAATTTGGGGATGTTCTGTGTTTTGGTTGATTGTAGGTACGTTCTTATGTACTGATATGTTGGCGTTTGCGGCGATACGACGAATGGCAATGTGTGGATTTTCAGTGACAGCTAAACATAACATTTTGCCTATCATTTTCTGTTACTACATTCACCCGTTCTGTGTTTGGACACCCTGTATATTTTGCAAGTAAAAACTGAGTAATTTTAATATTAAAACTACCTACGTACCTACTTTATATAAGGAAGAACTTACCTGCCATAAAGAAGAAGTAATGGGCTTTAATTGGAAGCAGCTTTCTGTTGATCTTCATGATAAACTGGGATCTGTACACATTCGAAAACTGTAACAAAGATATGTTTTTTATGTTACCGTTAGACAACTGCTATACTTTAATGCCACCGCCGTTATTTCCTCATTATCAGTTTTATCAAACAGATAATTATTACTGTGCTTAGGATTTTAATCCAACAGGCGTGTGGCAACGCCAGTTAGTCAGGTGATAACATCACACACAGTAACATTATTATATTAATTAAATTTTTAAATTTAAAAAAATTGTATTCATTGCTTTTTTATTTATTCGTTTGATGTTATTTTGATGACTATCTTACTGAGATTATTTATTAGACACTTGTGATGATACCATCCCACATCAGGTTATCTTAAAATTTCTTTTTATGTAAATATTAAATATTTATTTTGCCTCAGAAATAATTTCACAATTTTTCCTGAGTACCTAATTCTAAGTATGTATTACAAAATATTAGTCATATTACACATATTATTAACTGATTTGCTATTCCTTTTATATCCTACTCCTGGTCAATTAATAACTTAATTGTAATGAAAAAAACTCTAATCAATTAAACTGCTATTGATTATGCTCTTTCATTGATATTATTTTGCCCAAGTTGATAACTGAAATAATTAGGTATTTTTTCTGCAAAAAATAATACTTAGGTATACTAATACGTTATTTATGTCACCAAGATCGCCATTATTGCTAACATTATCTTTTAAACGAATTGTTTTGGCTTTGTGCCATAGTATTTGTTTTTTATATTTATGCATGACTTCAATGCAAATATATGTTAGTTACTATAAATATAAATTCAAATTTAGCATATAATATTCTAAAATAATTTCAATGTTAGTGTTTTAAATGTTTCATATATCAAAAATAAAATTCGAATTACACGTGCGAGCAATAATAAAATAAATTCCGCATTGAAATTTACAAATATGTATGTTTGGACTTTTGCCAATCTTTTACACGTTGATTACGGAAATCCTAGTTTTTTTCTTAAATGAATTAAGATAAAATTTACAATCTCAATAGAATAAAAATTGAATTTTTAAATTATGTTGATTGCTATAATGTTTAATATTTCAGAGTTATTGATCACTGTAACACACTAAAACCTTTGAATTCTAATTTTTCTTTCCATTTTTTATATTTTTATAAAATTGCCCCTCATTATTTAATGTCGAGGTTAATTAAAAAGATGAAATTTAAATAGAACTAAAAGCCGTAACAAGGTAGGGATCTAAAAGCACTGTTTTCGAGTTACAAAAATGTCAATCAATTTAAAAAATCAAACGTCAGGTTTGTTAAAATATTTATAAAGATTTTTGACAAATTAAAAAAATTTGATCAATATAAGGAAAAATCTACTGAAATGGTACACAAATACATCAGTTAGTGGCAGGATTGCTGCCTGTCGTGTAGAAGACAACATATTTCTATCCCTCTGAATATTTCTAGATAAAAATATTATAAATTTCGGTAAATTAAGTAACATTTTTAATATTACTTATTCCCATCGCAAAAAACAACTTTTTTTATTTGACGCTCGAAATCTGCATAACTAGGTATTAAAAATCCAATAAATTTCTGACAATGTTTATAATCTGTTTGCCTTAGATTATTATCTAATCTAAGGCATCCCATTATTGGAAACTACCTTCTTCATAATTGTATTGGAAATTATCCTTTCTATGTCATGGATAATTATAAATTACGATTTTAAATACAAAGAAATATTTAAACTTTTATTTCTGTTATGAACTGCGAGATGTTTGCTTGTTTACAATTATCTTTAACCAGGATGTTAAATTAAAAATAAACCGCACTGTTTAATTCACGCTTACAAATAAACTTTGACTAAATATTTAAGCAGTGGCGGCTGATGCGGGAGGGGGGCTCTGGGGCGCTGCGCCCGCTAGAAATTGTCATAGTAAAAAAATTTAATTTAAAATTAAATAAAGTAGCCTTGTGAAACAATTAAAAAGGAAATGTTAATTTTGTAATGTGCAATCAATTTAACTCGACTTCGTTTGCAAATTTTTGAATACGTGGGATCCTCCTAGATCGCCTCTACCTCTGTAAAGTGTTACAGTGGTGGTCATGGTTAGCGTCACACAGCAGTAAAAGACGGTGTGGGTATAGCGCATATTTAGTTTAGGCTTTGTTTAGTTCTACCGTAACCATATAATATCTATTCGCCGCTTTTTTTCTTAATAAACGTAATTTGTTCAGGTGTGGTATAAAATTTTGTTCTTACATATTGTTTCTTGTGTTTTCTAAAAAATTGTAAAAGTTTAAATTGATTGTAGCATTTGCAAAAGTAAATGGTGCGAGAAATACTAAACTTTAATGAAAATATAATTGAAAAGTTTATTTCGGACAAAATCGGAAAAATGGACATTCACTATAAGAAATAATGTGAGGACATTTTCCCGATAGGCATGATGACAGATTTTGAAAACCTATTATGTGATGTTCGGAAGTATTTACTATTTCCAACAAATATTTTATTTCTGTAGAAAATAAAAGGTTTAGTAAAAATATATTGACATTTTAATTTTAAATCTAAACTTACGCAAAAACGGTCGCGTCTACGTGACGACACATCTATGTTTGTCAACGGTAAACTGTCTACCCTCTAATCTACTCTAATCTAACCTCAAATCGTAATGGATACATATTATCTTTCCATAAAGAGACTAAAACATTAAGAAAATATGATACGTAGTTGTCATCAAGTGTAACATTATTTATTTCTACTTCATTATTTGTATTGTAATTGCAATCAGCTACACCGAAATAGCCCTTTTGAAGCCCTGTTAAATACATTTGTAGCTACCATCTGCACATAAAACTTCTGGGTCGATTTTCCTTTTTCCACATAATTTTTAAGTCTTCATATTCGTGGTATATTTAATTTCAATAATACTGTCTTCACAAATTCCGTCAGGCGATCCTGCTACCGTGGGATAGTTTTTGCAAAGCATTATATCATATTTTTTAAATTTTTTCTCCAAACTGGTACTTACAATTTTCCTCACTTCAACATTCCAACATTCTATCGCGTTTCATGGCCGATGCATCTGAGATTGCACAACTTTGATGTTGATCTCGTCTCTTCTTAAACTTTCATGTCATCTTCATCAGTCAATACGAGTATTCTCAAAACTGTGTCGCAGGACTATTATTTGTATTTCAGCACCAATTTATGCATGGATAAACTTTTGATCACAAACAAACATAGTCTTTTTGATATTTTATTAACTCGCAGTTATTGAGCTTTATTTTCTTTCCACTTTTTTTCAAGTACCTAACGTTTCCTGATTATGGTTTTGGTAACATAAAACTAAGCAACTGAATAGTTGGGAAACAAAATATTTAAACATAGATGTGACGTAATTCGCTCTGGTTGGTGTTCAACCTATCATGGCGGTTTGCTGTATTTTGTAGTTTTGTTTTATCAAAAATATTAACAATCTCGCTCATAATATAAAAATAAATATGTTTTTTATAATCCATTAATCATATTTCACTAGATAAATACATAATTTTAGCGATTCTTGGTTACTGTCATCATGCCTAATATTTGATTTTTTTTTCAATTCTTTGTACCTAAATTTTTCCGCCCTCCCTGGTATGGAGTCAAGAGGCGCCACTGTATTTAAGTATCTACATGCTACAGGTACATGATTATATTGGACACATAGAAACTTTTTAAAATAAATAAAGATAATAGAACTTGAAATAACATTTCTGCAAAAACAATTTTTGTTGAATGTTGTGGAGCAGATTAGTTATGTTATGTTATCGAAATTTTCTCCGCTGAAGAGTACTCGTATAATAACAAGATCAATTAAACTCCTTTCATTCGTTTTTTTTTTAATTACTAATTAAGGACCGACCGAATTAATAATGCAATTTTTACATATTTGAATAAGTTTGCGTCAACGTAAGGTATTACAAATAAATGATGGCATTAGTACATAAAATAAACATTATAAATGCGTACACAACAATCAGCAATGTTGATCGCCTTAGTAATACTAATTGGTTCCACTTACCTTACGAATGCATTCGTTATTTATATGTTCTACACTTTCTCGCGCTTTCCAAACATAACTCAAATTTATAGTAACCTGATGAATAATCCCAATAGGCTCTATTTTGATATCATAACCTTAGGTATTGTGTCTAGCAGAAATTTATATTTAACCAGACATTGTTACTTACTTTTAGATTATCGGAATTGTGTTGAATATTTTGAGATCTCTCTCAACAAAGTCATTATCCTTATCACAAGATTATCTGCTACTATCATATTTGTTGAAAATAATTGTATGTACGACAATAAATGAACTTTATCTCGTATCACATGAACAAGCAACTGCGGCGTACATATTTATAAAACACTGCAATACACACTTAAAAATTTAATGAACTTCGATATGGACGTTATTTGTGTAGGCCAGAAAAGCAGGACGTGTGTCGAACAAACTAGCGTCTCACTTACTGAGTAGTATCACCATCAAGTTTAAAATAAACTCGTATGGGAACGTGACAATCGGTTTAAATAAATTAAAATGGGGAATGTGGTTTTTAAATTTTCCTAAATCGTCCAACTACCGCTACTGATTTTTTTTGGCATTAAATCGAGCATTGACCCTCCTCTGTTAAGACACAGTGGCATACCTGAACCATTAATTTGCTTGAGTGGGGTGTTTGCATCGAAAAAATGTATAGTGTTTTGTCATTGAATATTATTCTATAATGAAAGCCAAACCGTATAAACAATTATCCTAAAATCTCCTTATATAAGTTTTTTATAAATTTGATTTTAGATATTTACGCCATTGTCATCAATTTATGGTGTACTAGACCGTGGACGTTGTCTTTACAGAAAACTTATTTAAGTAACTCCTCTTTGTCTCCCTAAGGATAAACAAAATGAGAACAGTGGTATGAGATTTTAGTTGAACTTCCTATTCATAGATGGTGAAATTAAGTTATAGTTTAGCACGTCATAGCTGTCCAAATTTATTTCAGTTTTATATATTTTTTATTTCCAATTAAAAAACAAAAATAAAACTGAAGCGTTAAGTTTTCATCAGCGGGTATAATCGTCCAGTAATTAGCTTTAATGATGGTACTAAAATGTATCTAAAAAAATTATGAAAACGCCAGGATACCTTTTAGAGAACCATTTATTGTCTATTGTTAGTTTGGATAACTTTTCTTGAAGTAAGACATCTACAAAATTGAAAACTTTCCATTTCTAATATTGATATTCGGTAAACATTGTTGATATTCTGAACCAATTACATTTAATGATCAGTATTCACAATCTAATGATACATTCTAGAATATTAGGTAGTAGTTCCACATTTTTATTCAAATAAAAATTAATCACCAACTACAATAATCTTGAAGACTGAAACTAACGATGATCTTAAAATGAGAAAATAAATGAAAATGTAGGATAATTATTTACTTACTTATTCAACAAAAAGCAACTTATAAGTCAAAATTGTTTTGATTTCAGTTTCTAGATTTCAAACGGGCACATATACTTATAAAAGAACTTTGGGGCCACCACTGGGTTTTATTGAGTTGTATTTGTTATTGTCTGTTGTATAAATAAATAATTCAAACGCACTTAATGCAGTTATTCCACTTCCGTATTACTTCTACCGGTATCTACTGATTGTTTACATAAGCTGCGGTTTGGCGCTCTAGAGAAAACTGTAAAGTTAGCTTCATGGTGTGTAGTGTGACGCCTCAATTGTAACGATATTGCCGTCAAAACTTCCTGAGCTTTTTTAAACGAAAATAAGAAAATCTGGACACTTCAATTTTTGTTTTTTTTTTCTGCAATCTTCTACATTAATCACGTGAGGTTTTAAGGCCACTTTTTACACCCTTCCTCCCCCCTGGTGATACGTGCTGAGGTTGTATTTTTGTTAAAAAAAACTTCTATATTTTCAGAATATTTTTTTAATGAAAATCAATAAAAAAAACAGCACATTTATTTAAATGCAGTGTCCTCGTACCATGGATTTACTTGACTGTTTTCGACACCGATAAATGGACAAACATCTTGAAACTCAAAATATACACGTGATATGTAACAACAACTCCCCCTCCCCCATTGTGAGCAATAGTAATGTTATCCCCCCCTATTTGAACCTCACATGATTAATGGATGACTCGTTATATAGATTATTTTATCTAAATTGAATCATGATTTTATCATGAAGTTTAATAATTTTTTGTTTTTAGTTAAATAATTTTTAAATAGTTTTCATAAGTGCCAAATATCCAAATAAATGATGAAAGAATTTAAACTGTGACAAATAAGTAACTTCTGACAATACTTTGGCATGTCCTACTGAGATTGTTAACAATTAATAATGGGAGAAAGAGCAAATTGTATGTGCAGACATATATTACTTTAATTATTACAACACTACCTTAATTATTACAACATATTACTTTAATTGTTACAACATGAATTACATTAATTTTGCAAAAATTCGATTAATATAACAGCAAATAAGGTAAATGAAATTCGAATTAAATAAAAATATACCAGGACCTTTTTATATTTTTACATTTTATATATAAATTTAAAAATTGACCACATAGAAATTAGTACGAGGTTTTCTTGACGAGTGAGTGGTGTTATTAGATTTTAAATGAAAAAATTGCTAATTTAATTTTTCGAAATTTGGCTCCTAAATAATCGTAGCCGTTTTGAGAGTCATAATTTCCGAATTATGCGCTTTTTTAGGGTCTTTGTATACAGGGTCGGAAAGTCGTGAGAGCGATAAAGAAAGTCATAGAAATCCGTGCGATAGAGAAAGATGAATATAATGAAGGCGTCTAATAGTCACCGCCCATTTCGCCCTTCCACAAATAAGATCCACTTCTTATTTGTGGAAGGGCGGTGACTATGAGACGCCTTCATTATACCCATCTTTCTCTATCGCACGGATTTCTATGANGTGTGTAGTGTGACGCCTCAATTGTAACGATATTGCCGTCAAAACTTCCTGAGCTTTTTTAAACGAAAATAAGAAAATCTGGACACTTCAATTTTTGTTTTTTTTTTCTGCAATCTTCTACATTAATCACGTGAGGTTTTAAGGCCACTTTTTACACCCTTCCTCCCCCCTGGTGATACGTGCTGAGGTTGTATTTTTGTTAAAAAAAACTTCTATATTTTCAGAATATTTTTTTAATGAAAATCAATAAAAAAAACAGCACATTTATTTAAATGCAGTGTCCTCGTACCATGGATTTACTTGACTGTTTTCGACACCGATAAATGGACAAACATCTTGAAACTCAAAATATACACGTGATATGTAACAACAACTCCCCCTCCCCCATTGTGAGCAATAGTAATGTTATCCCCCCCTATTTGAACCTCACATGATTAATGGATGACTCGTTATATAGATTATTTTATCTAAATTGAATCATGATTTTATCATGAAGTTTAATAATTTTTTGTTTTTAGTTAAATAATTTTTAAATAGTTTTCATAAGTGCCAAATATCCAAATAAATGATGAAAGAATTTAAACTGTGACAAATAAGTAACTTCTGACAATACTTTGGCATGTCCTACTGAGATTGTTAACAATTAATAATGGGAGAAAGAGCAAATTGTATGTGCAGACATATATTACTTTAATTATTACAACACTACCTTAATTATTACAACATATTACTTTAATTGTTACAACATGAATTACATTAATTTTGCAAAAATTCGATTAATATAACAGCAAATAAGGTAAATGAAATTCGAATTAAATAAAAATATACCAGGACCTTTTTATATTTTTACATTTTATATATAAATTTAAAAATTGACCACATAGAAATTAGTACGAGGTTTTCTTGACGAGTGAGTGGTGTTATTAGATTTTAAATGAAAAAATTGCTAATTTAATTTTTCGAAATTTGGCTCCTAAATAATCGTAGCCGTTTTGAGAGTCATAATTTCCGAATTATGCGCTTTTTTAGGGTCTTTGTATACAGGGTCGGAAAGTCGTGAGAGCGATAAAGAAAGTCATAGAAATCCGTGCGATAGAGAAAGATGAATATAATGAAGGCGTCTAATAGTCACCGCCCATTTCGCCCTTCCACAAATAAGATCCACTTCTTATTTGTGGAAGGGCGGTGACTATGAGACGCCTTCATTATACCCATCTTTCTCTATCGCACGGATTTCTATGACTTTCTTTATCGCTCTCACGTAACGGCCGATGAACCATGGGGACTTTCCTACCCTGTATTTGAACTTAATTATTTTCAATTATCTATTATTTTACTATCATATATTATAAACTGCAAATCGGGACACCCTATATGTATCCATAACAAGTGAATTTTAAATAATTTGTTTATATTATTTTATCTGAAATTTATCACGGTCTACCAGTTTGCTAATTATTTCGAATATTAGAAGGTATGAGAACAGATTTATTTTTATAAAGCCTTTAAAATTGCAAGGATAAGTCGGTAAGTATGTAATTATTCATAAGGCTAACGTGATATGCATACAAAAAATAGGAAGTAAAATAAAGTAACAATCAGCAGACATTAGAATGAAATTTAACATTTTTATTTGCGTCATTAAACTAAAATTATTTCCATTTCCAATATTACTCCGAATTTGGAATACTGAATTTTTTTTTAGGAAAGGCCAGGAGTCAAATATTAAAATTGCATTATATTTTTTTTCGACGTGTAATTGAAAATAAATGGTTTAAGAAAATAAAAAGGACTTATAGGTTTCATTCATGGAGGCCTCACAAAAAAACTCACGCACTTCAAAACACTTTCGTTTAATTCTAAAAAAAAATCAGACACCTACCGACATAAAATTTTGACTTTTTGACACTGCAGCATGCAGTAACATTTGGGGGTACCCCCCCCCCCTGCTTCCGTCTGACTACACCCATGGTTTTATTAATTGTTTCTCATTGCTCATACTTAAATTACAGATTATGGGTCTAATGAATAAAAAGTAGCAAATGCTTTTATTAAATATTGTAAATTTTTGATAGAGGAGAAAATTCATTTTATGTGAATAGAACTATACTCCGCGGTCGAAATTATAGAGAGTGATTCATCGCTAGCTTTTGGACTAGTAAGGGGGATGGAGCGTGCCGGGAACGAATCCATTGGCGTGTCTACGTAAAAGGCAACAAGATATAGAAAATAATGAAAAAAGATAATAAAACATAGCATCTAATATTTTTTACGGTTTGCTATAACAGGCACTTTGATCAATTTGAATTATTACAGCATTTTAAAACGTCCCAATTGTGTTTTTTTTTAATTTATAAATTTATTATAGCCATGGAATTGGACCCCTCGTCTACGCTTATGCTATGACGTTTCTCAGGACGGATTAAATCAAGTAAGTAAGTAAGTAAGTAAGTAAGTAAGTAAGTAAGTAAGTAAGTAAGTAAGTAAGTAAGTAAG